TGGGAACCACGGCAGGGCTGGATCCAGGGTTGGACTTGATGATTTCAGAGGTCCCTTCCAATCCGGTTGATTCCATGATTCAAAGATTCTATGATTCTATGATTCTATGATGCAAAGATTCTATGATTCTGTGATTCTGTGATTCAATGATTCTATGATTCTATGATTCCATACCTGGCATCTGACCAGGATCAGCTCACTCCACCTGCCTAATGCCAACGGCAAGAGCCAGTTTATGCCACATGTGTCTCAAACTTACGTGAGGGAAGGTTGGCTTAACCCTCTTCCTCCAGGAGAGATTTCCAGGCCTGGATCCCAAGAGAAAACTCCCAACAGCCTGCTGTTAACTACCTGACTTCCAAGCAGATTAGAAGCTCATGTTTCCTCCCCTTCCCAACGTATCCTATGGAATACCTCCAGCTGGCACTTGCAGCCTCAGATCTCGGCAGGAAATGTCTGTCTATCCAAAAAACCTTATTGTGAACTTGCAGGAGCTGCCAAATTGGCAGCTGAGGCTCAGCCATGTACAGGAGTGGGATTGTGGTGGAGAAACCATGGAAAGAAGCTGCAGACAGCCCATACGTGAAAAGGGAGGAGTCTCCCACGGTTAGAAAAGCACTTCCCAGTGCTGAGAGAGCACTTGTGTGGAGCCTTCGGATTGGGTCAGAGTTGTGATATCCAGGAAGATGCAGAACCTCCCATCCTCCACACTTTTCGTTGTCATAATCCCTTTCCATCTTCCACATCCACGTTTTTTTCCTTGTCAGAGATTACCTGTTTTTTATGGATGAAAAATGAAGCTGAATCCTGCACCCAGACTTAGGACTGGGTAAATCTTTGGATCCCATTGTTGAAACAACCAGATGCTGATGGAGGAGGGATTCTTGAGAGCTGCATCCAGCTCTGGAATTCCCAGTACAGGAAGGACATGGAGCTGTTGGAGCGAGTCCAGAGGAGGCACCAAGATAATTAAAGGGATGGAGCGACTTTTCTATGAGGAAAAGATGGGAGAATTGGGATTGTTCAGCCTGGAGAAGGGAAGACTCTGGGGTGACTTGATTGTGGCCTTCCAGTACCTGAAGGGAGTCAACAAGAAAGTTGGAGAAGGACTATTGACAAGAGCCTGGAATGCCAGGACGAGGGGGAATGGCTTCAAACTCACAGAGAGCAGGGTTAGGTTGGATATTGGGAAGAAATTGTTCCCTAGGAGGGTTGGGAGGCCCTGGCACAGGTTGCCCAGAGAAGCTGTGGCTGCCCCATCTCTGGAAGTGTCCAAGGCCAGGCTGGATGGAGCTTGGAGCAACCTGGGCTAGTGGAAGGTGTCCCTGCCCACGGCAGGGGGTTGGAAGAAGGTGACTTTCAAGGTCCCTTCCAACCCAAACCATTCTGTGATTCTTGAGTAGGAAAGAAGCAGCTGAGGGAACTGATGGCCTCCAGCTGCAGGAGGTTGCTGTGGAGGGAACTCAAGATGCTCCAGCCCTTTTCCCCATCTCAGTGAATCCTCTGGAGCTTTGTAGGACCCTGGAATAAACTTAGGAAAACCTTGTGGTGGCTCTGCTTTCCTTCTGAGCTGAGGGAAGCCAAGTACAGCCACAGGGTGTCACACCTTGGTGATGCCCATTGCCTACATCCCCAGATCCCTGCTCACTCTGCATCCAGCATGGAATTTTAGAGTGCTTTGGATGAGGAAACTTTTCCACGTGTCCTCTGAAATCCCCTGCACAGGGGCTGTTATGAACCAAACAACACACACCTTGTTCTTTCCAGTTTGGGGGACTGGGGTTAAAAGTCAGGTTGTTAAACAACAACATATAGATTTGGGAATTGTTCCTTTTTTATTTTTTGTGTTCCCAAACCCTTTACATTTAAACACAGATTCACCCCTCCAAGCATTCTCAGATGCCTTTCTTTTTAAAACACTGGAATACATAGAAAATTATGTGTGACTGGGTGAATACTGGGGAACATAACTCTTATTTATTTAAGAGGCAGAGATGAATTCCATGTACAATTATATGGAAGATGGCAAGATTGCTGTGTTCTGAGACAACAAAGTACCAGCATTTGGAAAGGAGATGGATTATTGAAGGTAATTTATGTAGTTTAGAGTGATTTAAGTGTAGTTAAACTATTGCACATCATGGTACAATATATGACATAATAGGTGTCATGGTTTGAGAAGTTTTCCAGTCTGTTTTTCATTCCAGCTTCCCAGCTGATACTCCACCAGAGAAACCGGTGGAGGTCTGTTATTTCTGGGGAGAGACTGTTCCTGGAACAGTTTGGCCAGAGAAGTTGTGGATTCCCCATCCCTGGAAGTGTCCAAGGCCGGGTCGAACAGGGTGTGGAGCAACCTGGGATAGTTCCAGCCCATGGGCTGGACAGAGATGATCTTGAAGATTCCTTCTAACTCAAACTTTTCAATGATTCCATGATATGGTCTCTTGTATCTGCAACAAAATTTGGCTATTTAACCCTGTTTTTCCAAAAAATCCCACTCTGCTTTTCCTTAGCTGGGTCTTCATGTGGAGAAGGGGCTGTTTCAAAGGGAAAGGTTTGGTGTGACAGCTGTTTTGGAAGGGGATCTCCTGCCTTTAAAACAGAAATCTGTAATGTTCTAGATGGTAAAATTAAGCAAATATGTTTTCACAAGCCAATTTGGTATTTGCTGTATTTTTCCCACAGGAGTTGAGCAGAGCTCAGCAAAATTAGTAAAAAAGCCCCAAAAATCCACTGGTTCCCCTGTGTCTCAGTTCCCTCATAAATAAAAGGACTCTATTGTAGCTACTCTGTTGTAGCACGTAAGAGATGTCAAGGATTTGAGGCTGGAATGTGCTCAGATCTGAGAAACACCATCAGCCCTCAGGCTGAGTCCTACAGATGAAATTTCTTGGTTGCTGGAACTCTTGGGATGAGGGATATGAAAAGTCACTTTGAGCAACATGGTCTAGTGGAAGGTGTCCCTGCCCATGGAACAAGATGACCTTTCAGGTCCTTTCCAACCCAAACCATTCTGTGATTCTATGAAGATCTGCCTGGAGGGGAAGCCACATGGAACAGCAAAAGTCTGAAAGGTTTTGTGCAAAGTTCAGCCCCAGCAGGGCTGAAGTAGCTCAGCCAGGAGAGTGTTAGATTGGAGATCTAAAGATTTAGTGGAAGATGTCTCTGCCCATGGCAGGGGGTTCGGAATGAGATGATCCTTAAGGTCCCTTCCAACCAAAACCATTCCATGGTTTAAGTATCCAGAGACAGATGTGAACAGACAGAACAGGACATGTCCCTTCCAACTCCTTGAATATGGCACAAAGGGGATGAACTTCAGCCACACTCTGTCATCTCCCGTGGAACATCTCCCTGGGCCTTTTCCAGAGACAGGGAACTGCACTAGAAGGACCATCAGCCTGATCTAAATGGACACATTTGATTTCCCTGAGTGCCTGGTGCTGTTTGAGAAGGCTCTTCTCAGTGTTCCCGGGGACAGAACAAGAGCCAAGTGTCCTCTGAGCCAGCTGGAGTTGCAAAAGGCTGAAAGCTCTTCCTGTTCCAATGGGGTTTGGGACAATGGCAGCCCCAGCAGGGCTGAAGTAGCTCAGCTGGGAGAGTGTTAGACTGAAGATCTAAAGGTCCCTGGTTCAATCCCGGGCTTCAGCAGGCTTTTCCTGCCCTTTTGGGTGCCCAGGGCTGGGATTCCAGTACAACAGAGACGTGGACAGGCAGGAGAGAGGCCAGCAAAGGGCCAGGAGGGGGATGAAGGGGCTGGAGCATCTCTCCTGTGAGAAGAGGATGAGAGAGCTGGGAAAGGTTGCCCTGAGAGGTGAAGTTCCCATTCTTTGCCATATTTCAAAGCCACCTGGATGTGATCCTGGACAACTGGCTGGAGGTGTTCCTGCCTGAGCAGGGGTTTGATGTCCATGAGGTCCCTTCTGACCTCAACCAGTCTGAGTCTATGAAACAGGGACATTGTTTTTAATTCAAAGGCATCATAAAAAATAGCAATGGAAAGGGGTTTTTCTTTAATTCGTTCAGCTGTTTTTTCCCAGTCCTGTGTCCTGGACTGCCCTCTAAAGTGGTGGTGATGTTGAGTCACTGGTGTGGGGAGTTGTCTACTCTGCAGCAAGTCCAGGAGAGGCCACAAAGATTATCAGAGAGATGGAGCTCCTCTCCTGTGAGGAAAGGCTGAGAGAGGGATTTGTTCAGCCCAGAAAAAAAAAGGCTCCAAGGAGACTTTAGAGCCCCTTCTAGTGCCTAAAGGGGCTCCAGGAGAGCTGGAGAGGGACTTTGGACAAGGGCATGGAGTGACAGGATGAAGGGGAATGGTTTTAAGTCAACAGAGGGATGTTAGATGGGATATTGGGAAGGAATTCTTCCCTGGGAGTGTGGTGAGGCCCTGGTACAGGTTGCCCAGAGAAACTGTGGCTGCCCCATCCCTGGAAGTGTCCAAGGCCAGGTTGGACTGGGCTTGGAGCAACCTGGGCTAGTGGAAGGTGTCCCTACCCAGGGCAGGGGGTTGGAATGAGATGATGTTTAATGTCCCTCCCAACCCAAACCATTCCATGGTTTATGACCCTCTGAGCTCTGAGGACAATCACTGATGCCCCACCACCTCTGCCAGGAAATGCTGGGGGCTTGGAACAACACCAGCTACAGCTGCAGAGTCCTCAGCAGCAGCAGAGCTCGGCTCCTTGCTGGAATTAATGATTGCATCCTGCTTAATTGAAGGTTTCTCCCCTTTGCCCTAAATGTTGATCCCTTCTTTGACCCACAGGAGTTTTGTGGGTTCCTTCTTGCCTCTAATGGTGGTGTTTTGATTGAAAGAAGGATTAAATCCTCCCCTACCTTCACCTGTGCCCTGTCCCCAAGAACAGCAGAAACAAAGCTTTGACACCACATTACATAATTTTCTTCTTGTGAGCCCTTACAAACACCTTCATCTCAGGAAAAATAGACAGAATCTTGGAAATACCTCTTCAAAGAAATGGAAATAAAGAAAGCCTGACTGAGACAGTTTAAAACTTTGGATTTATTGATGGTAGAGGTGAGATGAGACCTGAGAATGATCCAGACCCTGCTCTAACCCTGTAACACACTCCTGAAAAATAAAGGGAACGGGGGATGGTGGTGAGTGACTGTCAGGGAAAAACAGGTGGAGGTGTTGGGAAGACAACACAGTCAGGGAACATATTAATCCCTTGAGACCAGGACAGGCTTCCCACTTCATTTCTGCCTACTCTCATGATTATTTATGATTTGGAGGGGCTGCAGGGAGTTACCATTTGGGAACTTTTGAGATATTATCCCTTTTTTTTGCACAGCCACAGTGTGATTCCAGAGGGATCTGAGCTGCAGCAGCGTGGGGAGGTTGCAGTGCAGAGCCTGCATCACCTCTCATTTTCAAAACCTGTAACTAACGATAAAACCCACAGATTCCTGGTCTCTCCCATGGTACTCCTTCATTCCCTCTTGTTTTCTGCCTGGCTCTTCATATTCCAAAAATCTGGGATAATTTCCTCTCCACGCCGAGCGTCAAGAAGGACAAAATCCCTTTGGCAGCTTCAGGGCATTGCTGAGAATGGATTTAAAAGCAGGAAATAACCCGAAATTCCCAGGGCGATCCCGCGCGTGTGGCTCGGATGCTGGGGAAAAAGGGACTGGATTGACGGAGGAATGGTCGTAAAGCAGCAGAAAAGAGGGACTTACGTCAGGGCTCCTGATTTCCATCTCGACGTCACCTAGCAACACTCCAGATAAGGGCTTTCACTTCCGAGGAACTCATTCCCTGGGAATTTTCCCATTAGGTGGCACCACTGGCCTTGAGAAGCCTTTGATGTGCTTTGTCTCCTTCGAGCCACTTTGACCTAAACCCCAATTCGGAGACCCCCGCCCCAAAAAACTCAGGAAGAGTTGGATGAGATTTGTGCAGACCTCAAAGTGGTCTGGGCTATTGGTTGTGATTTGATTTGGAGAAGAATTTTTGATAGGACTCAGCCCATCTTTGCACTGGATTCTGGAAAACCCCACGGGAAGACATAACCTGGCTCCTCTGGGCAGGAACTTCACCAGAGTTTGAGCTGAACTCAGGAGTGGAAATAACTTTTCTTATTTGCACTTAAGGGGTTATTTCATTCCTGGCTGCAGGGAGGGAGCTGTAACTCCCAACAAAGCTGATCTTGACGCATTTATGGTCTGCTGCTGGAAAGGGGGTGCCCAGGTTGCCAGGAGAACATGCTGACAACGCCCCAGGTGTCACACAGAGACCTCCAGAGTCGACTTCTGAAATTTTTCATTTGGATTTTGAAGGCGGATTCAATTTTGGAAATCAGCATTTGATTTCTGTGGGCTCTATCTGGTGACTGAGCAACCTGGACTAGTGGAAGGTGCCCCTGTCTATGGTAGAGGGTTGGGATTAAGTAATCCTGAAGGTCCCTACCGACCCAAACCATTCTATGTTTAGGTCAGGTTTAGTGATTTGCCTTTTTGCCCTCCGAGAAATCAAGTGAGACGAATCCCACCCCAGGAACATTTTCCAACCTCCTGGGCTTGCAGTAAAAAATGTCCTACTGAGTCTTCTCCTGTGTTCTTTGCTACCTGTCACGCTGCTGTCCCCATCTGGCCTTCCAGGAATTTGTTGATCGCCAGTGCTGCTGAACTAAATAGCTCCCAGCTCTTAAGAGAAGAACAGAACAACACCATTTCACAGAATCAGAGGCACTGATGTTTCAAAATAGACACTGGATTATTTTGATTTGCCTTCAAAGACAAGAGTCTTTGAAGGAAAACTAAGCCTGGAGCAAAGCTGCACTCCAGGCTTTAATAACCCTTCAAAGCAAAGCTTTACTTACAAGGGAACACTTGTGATGGGCCACACAATAATCATCAGCTGATAAACCATCTGGCTCTGCAACCCTTTCTCTTACTTCCTTCAGCATCCAAATGTGGGAAAATAAACCAGGAAGAGTTTTCAGTCCCTGCAGGCTGAGTCAAGCTGGACTTGTAGGATCTGTAGTCACTGAATTGCTCCTTCTGTAAATAAATATAAGCAGAGCTGCTCTGAACATCCAGCCTTGATTTTGCAGGGGCAGATTGCAGGATTTCTTGAAAATATTTACTGGGGCCAATTCCCAATTACCTTCTCCTTATGGATCTTGAGATCCAGGTGGAGATGAGAGAGACATTCAATAGGACAGAGAATAAGGATTGCTCATTCCCACTTCAGAGCTGAGACCTAGTCAGTCTTCAGGCTCCAACCCTGTCAGCAATATTGGAGATTCCTCTCATTTCAGCATCTCCACCAGACTCAAAATAGAGGAATCTGGGTTTGGGTTGTGCTGTCTCTTGGCCAAGGTCTTTAGTGATGCCCTGGGCTTTAAAGATCATCTCTTTCCAATCCCTCTGCCATGGGCAGGAACACTTCCATTAGCCCAGGTTGCTCCAAGCCCCGTCCAGCCTGGCCTTGGACACTTCCAGGGATGGGGCAGCCACAGCTTCTCAACATCTTGAGTCACTGGTGTGGGGAGTTGTCTACTCTGGAGCAAGTCCAGGGGAGGCCACAAAGATTATTAGAGAGGTTGAACTATTCTCCTGTGAGGAAAGGCCGAGAGAGATGGATTTGTTCAGCCCAGAGAAGAGAAGGCTCCAAGGAGACCTTGGAGCATCTTTCTCTTGGCAACATTGAGCTTTCAGGAGCTGGATCTGTCATATGTAGGAGACAATTTATAAGCTTAAATGGGAGTATCATTGCTCAGCTGGCCAAAAATGTCCCCATCTGAGAAGCACAAAGATGCTGTGACCCTCAGCCACATGTGTGACCAGTTCCTCAGTGACCAGGGGTGGGATCACAACTGGGATCCAGGAATGGAAGTGTTTTTGCAGGAAGAAAACCCCCTTAGGGTATGATTCTGTTGTCTGGATATTCCATAGCCTAGTTTGGGAGCCCTAAATATCAAGGAACTGTTATCTAATAAATCCCTGGGAGGAAATATCTGCTGCTGTCGAGCTGAACATTCAAGCCCAGATTAAATATATTTTTGACACCTTTCTCTACCAGATTTTTGACAGACATGGAGAACTCACCGTGCATTTCACAGAAGTATTTTGGGAAGACGTGAATTTGGAGCTGGGGAAAGATGGGAGATCGCTCTGGGAGCGAATTATTTGCAGGATAAGTTGGTGGGTTGGGCAAACCTGTCCCATCTCACGGCATGAATCTGCCAGGCTCCCATTCCCTGGGTGGAGAGAGACAGATTGGTGTGCACAGATTAGCCAGGCTCCATGGATAACTCCAGATCCTTCCGTGGGCTCTGTGAAAAGATGTTAGGAAAGTCTGTTCAATGCTAATGCTCATGATGGCTCTCAGCACAAGGCTGCTGTTTAAATCCAGATTTTAGCTGTGTTTTATCATAAGAGCCCAGAATGATTTGATCTGGAAAGGACCTTAAAGATCATCTCATCCCACTCACCTGCCACTGGACCAGGTTGCTCCAAGCCCTGTCCAACCTGGCCTTGAACACTCCCAGGGATGGGGAAGCCACAGATTCTCTGGAAAGCCTGTTCCTGTTCTCTGAGTAAAGAACTTCTTCCCAATGTTATGGACGTTGGCCTTCAGGAACAGCAGTGAGCCCCAATTTATTATTTCTTATATTTATTATTTCTTATATTTATTATTTCTTATCTGGACATGCTACAGGGAGGTGGTTTGGGTATTTTAGACCTGTCCAATGTGTATTTTTGGATATGTCAGACCAGCCTGAAACCCTGAACAGCACAAAAAAGAGAGATGGTCTGAGGGATGAGACAAGACAATGTCCTCAGCACCAGCCCAGAGAGAGGAGTCTGTGTTTGATTGTCCCTTTTACTCTCTTTCCAGTTATCTCTTGAGCCTTCCCTACAGTGAATTTGTCTTTCACTTCATCCTCCACCACCTTTGTCACTCCACATTCAGCTTCCCCTTCTGCAGCTTTGTAGTTACAGAGACTTTACTCCATCTCCTTGTTTTCCTTGCAATGATTTGTGAGCTCCTCTAATATCAAAGTAAGTGTTTCCCGGCTCCATCCTCCAGATTCACATGATTAAAGTCATGCATGGAAGTCACAGACACTGACAGGGAGTCTTGGCTGGCACCTTGAACCAGTGCTTTTGATCCCATTCTGCCTGTATCTTATTCCCTGAAACAACTTCCTTCTCTCCCAAGCCAAAATCAACTAAAGGCTGCCCCAAAAGGCTGAAAGATCATCATATTTCAACAGATTTTACAACAATTACAGCCCCAGCAGGGCTGAAGTAGCTCAGCTGGGAGAGCGTTAGACTGAAGATCTAAAGGTCCCTGGTTCAATCCCGGGCTTCAGCAGGCTTTTCCTGCCCTTTTGGGTGCCCAGGACTGGGATTCCAGTACAACAGAGACATGGACAGGCAGGAGAGAGGCCAGCAAAGGGCCAGGAAGGTGATCACAGAATGGGAAAGGTTGGAAGGGACCTCAGCGGGTCATCCAGTCCAAACTCAGGATCATCCCAGAGCACAGGGCACAGGATGGTGTCCAGATGGGTCTGGAATATTCCCAGTGAGGTAGGCTCCACACCCTCTCTGGGAAATCTGTTCCAGTGCTCGATCACTGCTCAGCAAAGAAGTTCTTCCTCATGTCCAGGTGGAACTTCCTGGGCATCAGTTCGTGCCTGTTCCTCTTGTGCCATTGCTGCCCCCCCCCCCCCCCCGAGCAGAGCCTGGTCCATCCTCTGCCCCCTCCCTGCACACACGGACAGACAGGGATGAGGTTCCCTCTCAGTGTCTCTTCTCAAAGCTGAACTGGCCCAGCTCAAGGGGATGAAGGGACTGGAGCATCTCTTTTATGAGAGAGACCTGGGGCTGGCTCTCCTGAGAGGTTGTGGAATCTCCATTCTGAGAAATTTTAAGAAGCCACCTGGATATATCCTGGGCAACTGGCCCTCAGTGGTCCTTCTAGAGCAGGGGGTTGCACTAGAAAATGTCCAGAAATCCCTTCCAACTATTCTGTGTGGAGAGGACAAGGACAAAAGTTTACATCTAGAGAAGGGAAAAGCCAAACTAATGAAATCCTCATATTTTCCCATCAGCGGTGTCCACCTGGTCAACCAGCCCAACCACTCTGGCTGAGCAACCAGCCAACAGAACTGTGAGAAAGATCAGGGTGTCGGAAAAACCAGACCCACACATAAATAAATAAAAGGAGGTTTAAACACTCCTATCCTTGAAACATTTATCAAGGTGAAGTTTTTCCTCTTTTTCCTTGATTTATTTTTTCTTATTTTTAGTCAAACTAAGAGCCCCAAAATTAACTCCTCACCCTCTCTGAGATGCTGGTGTCTGTCATCTGCTGCGGGATCTGCAGCGCGACGTCACGAGCAGGGCCCCCAAATAAACTTCCGCTCTCATTTAAGGCACCATCTGTGTCCCATTTCTGCAGAGCCTGGCAGAGATCTCTTCCCTTCTATGGAATGTTCCTTCCCCTTGCTGAGCTCCAGACTCCTTCGGAGGTGGGGAAGGCGGTGGGTGGGAGCGGTGCCAGCTCGGTGCGAACGGAGCTCGCTGTGACAGAGTCCTCGGGTTATCAGGAGGCTTTTGGTGCTCAACCATGGTCAGGAGGCCCTGCAACAGGCTCGAGGGTGATGCCTTCAACTCTGTGTCACATCCAATTTTAGTTTAGCTCTTTTAGTGTGGCACTTTTAGCACCTCTGTACGAGATTTCCGAAAATGTTTAACGTTCCTTGCCGAGGATTCCAACGGACCGAGATTTGAGCAAGGTGAAAAACAGCTTATCTGGAGAAAATGTACTCGGAATAAGACATAACAGGATCACACCATTTGATATAACCAAGTCAAAACTGCTCAGGAGCCTTGAAGCTGTTGCAAGCAGGACAGAGATGATGATGAGGAGGAGGACAGGGATGAAAGGGTGGTTGTTTTGCCACCACTGACTCAAATTTGGGAGGTGTGTCTGAGGGTGGGACAATGGGACAGACAGTTTTGGGGCTGGGTGTAACTAATGAGGTAATGCCTAGATATTGTAATTAGATGGTATTATAAAAATTGTAAAGGCCTGTACTGTGGGCGTGTGCAGTACAGTTTGTACACCAAAGGCACCACAGTTAAAGTGCTGCTTTCTACCTTTCTGTACTCAAAACTGTCCAGAGAATTATTTCTCTGATTTTAGGCAACAAGGGCAATGCACAGATGAGGCAGAGCCAACACCAGGCCATATCTGGCTGTGAGAAAGAGAAGCTTCACTGTGGTTTGTTAATTAGGACAAGAGTAATGAGGGGAGGAAGAGCCAAGCTGGGGACGTCATGAAGAGAAAGGTCCAAGTCACTGGGACACACCATTGTTTGGGACACAGAATCACAATCAACTAGGTTGGAAAAGACCTCTGAGATCATTGAGTCCAATCCGTGCCCCAACCCCACCTTGGCACCCAGCCCATGGCACTGAGTGCCACGTCCAGGCTCTGCTTCAACATCTCCAAGGATGATGACTCCACACCTCCCTGAGCAGCCCATTCCAATGTCTAAGCCCCCTTTCTGTGAAGAAATTCCTCCTAATGTCCAATCTAAACCTCCCCTGGCGCAGCTTGAGGCTGTGTCCTCTCATCCTGTTACTTGTTGAACCCCTTTTCGCTTCCCCCTCCTCTCATGAAGTTGTGGAAAGTGAGAAGGTCCTCCCTGAGCCTCCTCTTCTCCAGACTGAGCCGCCCCAACTCCCTCAGCCTCTCCTCATAGGATCTGTTCTCCCGACTCTTCCCCAGCTCCATTGCCTTTCCCTGGTCCCTTTAGCAGGATGAAGTTCACAGCCTTATCTTCCTATTCTGCAAATAAATTCAGCTTTGTTGCCTGATTCAGACAGTCAAACCCACAACAAATCAGGAAGAGCCTTACTTTAGGATCTGCACCAAACCAGCTGAATGAGCTGTGCAAACTGTAACCCTGGGCCTCAGTTTCCCTTTGCTGTAGCAATTCCCTTTCCCTTCCCTTCCCTTCCCCTCCC